GGGGGTCGACTGCGACTTCCTTGGATCCGTCGCCACATCAGAGAAGGGTCTCCGATAATGGTTCTGGAGCAAGTCCAGCTGCTCCATTATGAGCTCACTATCGACACTGTTTGCATGGGAGCTGCGGTGATCTGTTGGTGTTGTTGGGCCTCTGTGATCTGCTATCGGTGTCCGTTGTTCCGGCATGGGTTCTTCTGGACAACGGGTAAATATTCGGAGCTCCAATGATGTTTCGGCCCCTACCATTCCTCCTGGGAATGAAGCCAAAGGGGAGGTGATAACTTCCAACTCGTTGTCCACATCCTCCACTTCCAGCAGCTCTAAGGGCATCTCCAGCCGTTGGCCCCTCAGGAGGGGCAAAAAAAACACTCTCTGGGGCGCACCGGCGCTAAACCGCGCACTGGGGGCGTGATGCCCCCAGTCGCGGCGCCCACGGTTAGTCAAAAAAGTCAAATACGGCGCAAAAATGACTCAAATTTAACGCAAACATCGGCGAGTTCATTCAAACTTAAACATATTTTATAAAAAAAAAAACTACCGCGGGCTACCCCCGCCGTCTCCCTTGCCGCCCGCCCACGCGGTTTTACATGCCGAGGAGGCGGTAGAACCGCGTGTAGTCACCGCCGTCGTCGTCATCATCGTCGTCGTTGTCGCCGCCGCCTCCGCCGTCCCTGCTGCATCCCTCCCCTGGTTGGCGCGGCGGGTTGGACGGTCCGGGGGCGTCGTCGTCGTCGTCGCTGTCGAGGACCACGACGCCATGCTTGTCCTCGCGCCCACGCTTGCGGGCGGCGATCTCCTCCAGGGCCCGGTGCTGCCGGACCATCTCGTCGCGGAGGTAGTCGTCCCGCGCCCACCGCATGGCGTCCTCGTCGGAGAAGCCGCGCCGGGCTATCTCCTCGTACTCCGCGGGGAGGACGGGCTCCGGCTTGGGCTCGGCGAGGACGAAGCGGCCGATTGGTGGAGAGGCGTTGGCGCCGCCGGAGCTGCGGGTGCGCGCGCTGGCCGGCGTGTCCTGGGGCTCCGGTTTGACAGGGCGAGCCGCCGGACGAGGAGGAGGACCCCCCGGTCTCCATGCGCCTCGGGGTCCAGGAGCTTCCCCGGCGGCGTGAGAAGGAAGGGGGAGCGGGGTACTCCAGGCGCGGCGTGTTGCCGCCCTAGATGTACTCGAGGACGGCCTCCAACGTGCGCCCGGGCACGCCCCACCACAGACGCCGGCCGGCGGCGTTGAGCCTGCCGGAGGGCACGACGCCGTTGGTGGCCTCGAGTTGCTCGGCCTGACGGCGGCGGAAGTAAGGTTCCCAGAGCGGGCTGTCGGGGGCGTACCGTGGCGCCTCCCTCGCCGCACGCGGCAGGTTCGAGCGGATGCGTGCGATCTCCGCACGCCGCGCCGCGCCGGTCGGTACCGGGGGCACCGGCACGACGCCCGCGCTGATCCTCCACGTCCCGGGCACCTACATGTCCGGCGGGACCGGGTACTCGGCCTCGTAAAGGAGGCGAGCCTCGTCTTCGTGAAGATGGCGGCGGCCGAAGCCGTTCGCCGCCGCGCCGTCGCCTGGGAAGCGCTCGGCCATCGGTGTGAACTGGGGACGGCGAAAGAGAGGAGAGGAGAGGGAGGAAACGACGGCGGCGGGAGAGTGTGAGTCGCCGAGTGCGCCGGGGCGCTTCATATATAGGCCAAGGCGCGCGTGTCACCGTGTGTACGCGTGGCAGGCGAGGGAGGGCGAGGGGCGCGCGTCGTCCGGTCTTCACTGCGCCGCCCGTGAGGCATTAATGGTGCAGGCTGACCGGCGCGGCAGCTTTGGCATTGATTCACCGCGAGAAACGAGGCGATGAGGACGACGAAGGGCCGAGAAGAGAGCCGTGTCGCTGACGCGGCGGGCCCGCGGCTTTTCCGCGCCAAAACAGTTCACCGGCGCCCCCGGGCGCCCCCCAGCGCGCCGGGTTCGGGCTGGGTCCGCCGGCGCTGTTTTCGGCCCAAGCCGGCGAAAATCGGGCTCCTGAGGACGCGACTGGGCCGTTTTTTCAGCGCCGGCGTGAAAAAAACACCTGGGGAGGTCTTCCTGGGGGGGCGGCTGAAGATGCCCTAAATGGTGGTGTTTCGGGCTTGCGGCGATCTTCACATCCCAATTGGCCTAGTCCTTGATTGTGCAAAGAGTGTTTTGCCGCTTAAGCTTTACCAAAGATGGACCACATTGAGATTTACATCCCGTGTATGAAATCTTTCCTGTAAACTCTCTCTAACCCAGTTATAATTTTAGTTTATTAAAGGTCCTAGTTAATTAGTGAAACAGTTGGGTCCTTCTGGACTCTTCTTTCATTAAAAAAGAAAAATATATATTTTTCGCCCCTCAACTCGTTTAAAAGTAGAGAAATGGTCTCTTAACTTCAAAATCAACAAAACTTAGTCTTTTGACTTTTAAAACTGGATAAGTTTAGTCCCTCGTCTTGTTTTGGGCGGTTTTATGCCGAGGTGGTGTGGCATATACTATAGGAAAAAAAAAAGTGGGAGCCGAGCTGCCAGGCATCATTAAGCTCCCTGTCGCCACTTACGCCGCCGCCTCGCGGGCACACAAGCAGAGGAGCGGCAGTGCGCGTCTGTCTGTGCCGGCTGCGACATATGCCTGTCTGACTTTGCCGATGGCCAGCGTCCAGGTGCCAGCCTGCTCGACGGCGGCAACACGACTTTCCGGCGAGAGTAGGCTTGCAACGCTGGCTTGGTGTGGTCCACTCGTAGATTACATGTTGATGCATGTACGCAGCAAAAGCAGAGCAGGCAGCTAGCTTACTTATGCACGTTAATTGATCTAAGCTGATTCCTCTCGGGCCAAAAGCACCGGCCAGTGTTAGCTCTCAACTCACACGCTCAGGTGCACTCTGATGAACACTTAGGACTCGATTGGTTTGTGCAGCGAAAAACTAGACGCGCAGGTGGACACTTGCAGCGACATGCAGGCAGCTGCCTGACTCGACGCGTACGGTCTCCACACAAAATAGCGAGCTCGTGTCCCGCTAACTGAATGGGAAGAAAACGGGAAATAATCAACGGCCTAACTAATTATTCAACAGTCAGAAGCGCATCAGGAAGAGCTTGCTTTATACTCGTACATGACTAGATTGATGAGCTAGCACGAGGCTAGCTTTGTACAGCAGAATGACCATGAGTTGGGTGCTGCCTCGGCTGGGAGGAGCAGCGTCATGCCAACAGCCACTGCGCGGAGTCAAAAACCACTGTACTCGGCAAAAATCACCCGAAGCGGCACGAGGGATTAAACTTATCTTTTTTTTTAAATTGAAGGACTAAATTTATCCGGTTTTAAATGTTAAGGAACAAAGATTTGCTGGTTTTTGCAGTTGAGGGACCATTCCTATATTTTTGAAAAATTTGAGGGACGAAAAATATACTTACCCCTAAAAAAAAGAAAACAAAGCGCACTTTCATAGTTTTCCCCTTCAACATGTGGCCCTGCCATTATCTAGATCTCAGAGGTTGAGGCTCTATTTGGATTGAAGCT